CTTAGTGGTACATCTGCAAAGTCCTTTATCCTGATACCTCTCCAACCAGTTTTTCGGAATAGAGAGCGAATACCTCCACCTTCATACCCTCTAACACAGACGGCACCCGAAGAAACTGGACAACTGTTGGAGCAGCTTTCATTTCGTTTGAAGAGGCGAGTGAAAGAAGTTGGCTCCACTGTTCAGGCTGTGGCGAGTTGCCATGAAGCGGTGGTTGTAGATTTGTGCAAAAAGATCCTCGGCGCACCGCCCTGCGACTCGGTGGAATCCTTACCGAGCTTTCGTCCGTCATGTGACCAACATCGTCGGAGCTTAACGATAATTCACCAAAAAACACAAAGGCAATAAAGTTGGCCGGTTTCAAACCCACTTCCGTCTTATATTCCGATTTGGTCCACTTATGCATCTCATGTTTTGCCTCTACATTTGCTCATAAGTTAAGCTAAGGGACTGTGGATGACATGTGAAGTGGGTACAGATGAACCGTGAAATGGGTGCAATTGAAACCGAACAGCTTCATCCTCCCCTAAAACACGTAAGCCTTTGATTCTGCAATGTTGCCGCATGTGATTGCGTCCCATTCCGCACATGTTGTGTGAGTGGACTGCTCTTGAAATGAGTGTGATTAGAGACGGTGAAAACCCACTTCTTGCCTGATCAAGGCTCTTCTTGCTCATGGGGATTTGCTGATAAGCTTTGCTGTTGAGTCGTTGTACACTACCAACATTCCTGGACAAACACACGGCGATTTTAGGCAGTTGAGCTTACTTCCATTTTAAGTGAAAGTGTTTTGGCAAACAGATTCGAAGCTGGATTCCACGAAAAGACAATGGCGCATTCCTGTTGATCAGCTGTCGATTGGATTTGCTGTAACAGTCATGGTGACGCTGTTTCCGAGGTGAAACAGGCATATACATATACAGAGACAGACAAACTCACATACCTCGAGGTTGACATGTGACCATAAACAACCAAATCACTTGGTCAAATATAGAGTAAATATACCGGTTTTTAAGGATTTTCCGGTGATTTTTTCTGACTGGCTAGCTTGAATTTGGTTGTGACGATGATACCTTGCTTGGAGGATGTTCGTCATATGACGAGCGAAAACTTAGATTAGCTCGGAAACAGCATCATCATTGATGTTACAGTAAAACCAATCAACAGCTGGTCAAGAGGAATCTGTCGTCGTCTATCTGGTGGAACCGAGCTTGGAATCTCTTTACCCAACACACTTTCACTCGAAATGGAAGCAAGCCCAATAATTATGGAACAAGTGACTCCTCGAAACCCAACTTTTCTTCGCATAACAATGATACCGGCCAACCTGGCAATGTACTGTACATATTTTACCGTTAATGTTAAACGGCACGGACAAACGCAAGATCCAACTATGCGATTGTTTTTGTCACCCATTTTTGCAAATAATTGCATGGCTCAATTTGAGAAACGCTTAATTCAGAAGGCACTTTTATTCCAAAAGTCATTTGTTCGCTGTATTGACAACTACTTTGCCATTTGGCAACATGGCGAAAAAAGCCTGGAGAATTTTCATGGTTGACAACTCTTTTAGAATATTGTCGCATAGAATGAAGGGAAATACAGATTTGGCGCTAGAAAAAGAGATCCTTATGCTGCCATTGTGTAATCCGTCGAAGAAGATAGGCGAATTACCGACCATTTATGAAGAGAAAACAAAACTGTCCTCGCTATTGCTTTCCTTTCAAGAGTACTCGCACCGGCTCTCCAGATCGGGCTGCTGCAAGATCTTGTGTTCATGTGGTAGTGCCCATGCGGGAGAGACGTGTAGACCCATAAATGCACAGGACATCAGATAGATTGGTCGAATGCCAACGCTCAGCTGGATATGAAGACTATGAAAGTAAGCGAAAGATTAGAGGCGATAGAAATCAACAAAACAGCCAACACCCTGAATAGATGGTGTGAGTGTGGGAAGTTAGGCGGAAACTAATTACGGCTGTTGGGTAGGTTTTTGACTTGATTAGGCAAAAATTAGTTTTTCACTCTCGCATCACACTCATTTTAGGAGCAGTGCACTCACACAACATGTGTGCAAATGGACGCAATCACATGCGGTGACATTGCAGAATCAAAGGCATACGTGTTTTAGGGGTTTCAATTGCACCCATTTCACGCTTCATCTGTACCTACTTCACATGTCATCCACAGTCCGTTAGCTTAACTTATGAGCAAATGTAGAGGCAAAACATGAGATGCATAAGTGGACCAAATCGGAATATAAGACGGAAGTGGGTTTGAAACCGGCCAACTTTATTGCCTTTGTGTTTTTTGGTGAATTATCGTTAAGCTCCGACGATGTTGGTCACATGACGGACGAAAGCTCGGTAAGGATTCCACCGAGTCGCAGGGCGGTGCGCCGAGGATCTTTTTGCACAAATCTACAACCACCGCTTCATGGCAACTCGCCACAGCCTGAACAGTGGAGCCAACTTCTTTCACTCGCCTCTTCAAACGAAATGAAAGCTACTCGGGCAGTTGTCAAGTTTCTTCGGGTGCCGTCTGTGTTAGAGGGTATGAAGGTGGAGGTATTCGCTCTCTATTCCGAAAAACTGGTTGGAGAGGTATCAGGATAAAGGACTTTGCAGATGTACCACTAAGGTGATCAAGTTGGTCCGGATCCTCACGAGTCAGGTTAACAAATCCATTCACCCTAGGTTGCATAAGATGATGAAAGACGGATAGTTGAATATTCTTAAACTGACATGAATAGGCATCAAGATACCATTATCTTCCAATTAGCCTTTGGTTGGTGGGTTTTTCTGTTTTCATGACTATATTCTGTGGTTGAACAGATATACTTGTATCTGATAGTTGGCAACAGTTTTTTCGAGGGAATTGGCTTTTATGTTGAGAGTATTTCCAGTCGTTTTGTGTAGATTTCTAACAAGGTAGTTTAATTAAAATGTTTATTTCACACATAAAGGATAGAAGGTGCTTCTTATTGTTAGAGTAACAACATAGTTTAATTAGAGAATTTTAATTTTGCGTATTAGTGGTGGAGAATTCTTGTTGTTACACACCTAGTTTATTGTTGAATATTCATTTGTCGAGTCAATGGGATTATTTGTTTTAATATTGGTGTGTTTATGGATGTTGTTAATTATTTCTGGGTTGTTGTTTTTTTTATTGGTGTTTTTTTTGTTTTAATAGAGCGAAAGATTTTGGGTTATTCGCAATCTCGTGTTGGACGCAAAAAGGTTTCATTTATGGTGGTTATACAGAGGTTGGCTGATTTTCTAAAGTTGTTTAATAAGATTGGGGTTTCGAAAAATTACTATACGAGGTTATAAAACCACAGCTTCATGGCAACTCGCCACAGCCTACAGTAGAGCCAACTTCTTCCACTTGCCTCTTCAAACGAAATGAAAGCTACTCGGGCAGTTGTCCAGTTTCTTCGGGTGCCGTCTGTGTTAGAGGGTATGAAGGTGGAGGTATTCGCTCTCTACTCCGCAAAACCGGTTGGAAAGGTATCAGGATAAAGGACTTTGCAGATGTACCACTAAGGTGATCAAGTTGGTCCGGATCCTCACGAGTCAGGTTAACAAATCCATTCACCCTAGTTTGCATAAGATGATGAAAGACGGATGGTTGAATTTTCTTAATCTGACATGAATAGGCATCATGATGGCTTTAGAAATCAGAATCCCAGAAGGATAC